AGGGTTTAAACATGTTTTAATATAGTAAGTTGTAAAATGCATAACATCAAATTAACTTTATGGTAGTTTATGAAGTTTTAAGTCCCTCAATACGATTCTGCATATGTTTCATAATTAAGTCAACTTTCAATTCGAACCGTTTTGTTAAAGGAACTCATATGTGTTTCAATTCATAGCCACGTATTAAAGCTACGGTGGCAGTTTTTCGTTGTATTTATCCATATTTTAGTAAATAATTAAACTTTAACTATATCTTTTAAAATGTTACTTATCTAAATCTATCTAATCAAGGATTTACATAGAATACATATTGTCTAATTTGTCTTCTTACAAATGAGCATAAAAACTTAAGATTTGGGTATTAGTTATTTTATAATCATATTTCTGCACAACAGGTTTTAATTGTGTTCTGATAGATAGTTAAATATATTTATTAAATGTTTATATAATTAACAAAATATTTACTATGAAATTAGATGGTACTAAAAAGTATGTTTTATATATAACCAGCTGCCCTCGGGAACTTCGTTTCGCCTTAAAATTATTTTTTTACTAACCTACCTTTTCATACCAACGTATGGAACATTTTTCTATGCTACCCCATAGTGACTGTTCACTTTTCCGGAATTGTGCATTTTTTTAAATTATTCTCTTCACAAAAACCTTCCTTAGAGTTCAAAAAATAAATTTAAACAAATCGATTTTGTCCAGCCGTCTGCAAGTTTTACGCTTAGCAACTTAATATTTTGCGACTTTGTATTTTTGTTGATATAGAAATTACATATTAAAAAAATATATAAATTTAGGGTTAAAAATCTACCATTGAAAAAGAAATTGTCGTTTAGTTAAAATATTTAAAAAAAAATGTGTTATTAATTTGATTATTTAAATATTTCTCTAGCAGTTCAGCTTAACTCTGACATTTTTGTCATTCAAATATTATTATGTAAATAAGAAAAATAAATAACATACCTTAATAAACTAAACGAAAACAACAGATCACAAAAACGTCATCACACAAGCGCAGACGGATGCGCAATGACGGACTATGTGTCTTCCCACCATTATTTACTACGTTCATTAATAATAGCGTCATCGTAGTGTTTATGTTTCGTATAACCTAACAGAGGTAACCGAGTTAGAGAAAATACAGATGACAAATATTTGTATAACATTTTGTAGTATTACGTACAAAGTTTTATCAAATTATTATATATATATATATATATATATATTTACTCCTTTATTCATGTTTTAAGTCAAATCAAAATCATTTATTCATTTAGGTAACACAATGCACACTTACGAACGTCAAAAAGAAATACATATTAAATGGTAAATGATTCTAATTTTACATTTATTGCCAGTTCTCAAATCTAGGGCTAATCTAGGAGGGACAAATGGAATAATGGGTAGAAAGCAAAAAATGTAACAAATTTAAACTCATTTTGTTAACAATTGTAATGATTGGATATAAACGGGCTTTATTATACGGGAGAATTGTGTCTTGTTATAATTAAAAGATGAAATTTTTTTGGCTGGCTGAATTTTAAATTATAATTTTGCAGTTTACAAGATCAAGGGACGCATGCTTAATTGAACAGTCACAAATTAAAGACATAACATTTATTATGCAAAAGGTATTGAATTCTATAGAACAAATAAAAAAGCAAAGCAAACAAGTTTAGTTATTTCTCGTCTCCCTGTATCGACAAAATATTCAACGTCAAAAATCTATACAATTAATAATTATTTTTATTTAGTTAAGAGTGGCGGAGAGTTTATTGCCAGTTCTTCTCTTCCGTTCTACGCCCTTGATTTGACAACTGTCAGTAAATGACAAAAAAAAATAGTATTTCTTTTTAGACGTTCATATTGTTTCACCTATTTTAATAAATTTTGATTTTTTGATTTAATTTCATACAAATTTTGTGTATGAACAAAATGCGTAACACTTTATATTCTACGTAATATTTTCAAACAGTAAATTGTGATAAACATTCAGATCAGCTCAGGGGCCGATCACAAAGTATTCCTCATAATGGTATAACGGCTTGAATGCTAAGTAATAGTCTTAGTTATGCGCTTGATACTCAACGCTGAGGTCGGACGTTTGATTCCCGGCCGGATGAAAACTTATTATTGAAAAACGGGGACTGTTTGGCTAGGCCTCTCGGGGTTCAATCCAAGATAACCATTAGAATGCTACATTATCCCTGAGTATATATTTCTCAGAGATCTAATAATAATATAGGCTATATTTTTTTTGATTTCCGGACTTCATACACATATTATTATATTTATTTATGGACTTGCATTATTTTCACAAACCTAAAGATCTTGTTGTTTTTGTTGAAAAATGAAATATTTAACTAGTAATATTGTAAACCATTCTTATGTATGAAAATTGTGATTTCGATATTCATGCTGTGTAACCTTTGTACGCAATTAAAAGTTCTTTTATTTTTGATATAAATTTTTATTTATTGTAAAATCCCCTTTAACCATTCACTAGTGATGATGTTCATGTAAATCAATTACTTAATATAAAAATATCGTTTTTGATTTGTTTGACGAAACGATTGATGTCAGTGTTAAAATAAGTACCAAATTTTTAATAAAATTTCATTTTTAATAACATCGTTTCAACACCTCCCTTTTCTATAATGGAAATGTTATTTTCTTAGGGGTACCTTAAAGGTATTTTATGACTTAAAAATAGTAGGTAATTAATTACAAAGGGAACGTTCAAGAATGCTTCTCGTGAACAGCCACGAATTAGCTGTTTGTGTGGAGAGCGTGCTTGTTCACTTGTTAGTCAGTTCATTGCTGGAATTCTAATGACGTCTGCAAGATTTCTATGGGATACGAAATTTGATAATTTTGATATTTATGAATATAGCAAATAAATTGACTGTAGATATCTTTAACAGTGGCGTAACTATACCATCTGGGGCCAGTGGCAAATTCTTTTGATGGGGCCTTTCAGTAAAAATCGTCACGTTGTACTCCATATAATTTTATTAAATTTCGAGATTTTCAGCGTACTCAATTACACGTAGTATATGTCCCACTAATGGCCATAGGCCTCCTCTCGTAGGCGAGAGGGAATGGTCTGTAGAACCCACGCTAGCCCAATGCGTATTGGAGACTTCACATTCATCCATAGAACATAATATCTCTTGGTCAGGGGCCCTCTTGGGTCGGGTCCCGTGGCGTTTTGCCAGCCCTACCATCCTATTGTTACGCCACTGATCTTGAACCTGTCGCCGACATCAGTCATTACTATTGTTTTAAGGCGACAACTTTGTTATTTTTTTTATAGAACATATAGCAAACGGGCAGGAGGTTCACCTGATGTTAAGTGATACCGCCGCCCATGGACACTCTCAATGCTAGAGGGCTAGCGCGTTGCCGGCCTTTTAAGAATTGGTACGCTCTTTTCATGAAGGACCCTAAGTCGAATCAGTTCGGAAATACTTCAGTTTCGCCTTGCTGAGCACACCAAGCTTCTTAACTTAGCCTTTCCTTCCAAATGACCGCGAAACTGAACGTCGTCTATAATAGAATCCATACATGCGAGAACTATACTATAAACTCAATAGGGGAAGGAAACATTAGAAAATGTAAACGGAAACACATAAAAAAATGATATAAGTAAAATAGATGATGGAGGTTATTTGAATTTATGGTCAATAGTCAGACAGCAAAAAAGTAAACGAAAAACTAACGTGACCTAAGAGGTTTTTTTAAAATTGTTAGTTTAATACCTTTCAGTACATTGAAACCTGATTCGAGTTCAACGATATTTTTTAAAATTACGGACAGATTATCATGTACTCAATAATCGTAATCATGATTTTTTAAAATTAAAAACTGCGATTTACTTTACTTATTCTTGGAGTACATTGCCATCACATATAATTATTTAACTAATGTATAAAATATATTGTAAAACCTATTTAAAAGAGTAAGTGTGGAGTTTCTTGTCCATTCATCTCCACACGAAACTATCTTTTGGAAGGGGCAACTAGAATCATCAATATATTTTATTTGACGTTCAATATTGCAATTTAGGTAGTCTAATTGAAATAAATGATTTGACTATTTGACTATTACTTGACAAATAATATTCCAAAATCTCTTAATCCATTGTGGAAACCCCATGCAAATACGGGAACTAGTTTTAAAGTTTATCCTTAATGCGACAAATTTATTTTGTTTAAACAAATATTTATTTTTAAGCAACCGTTTATAATCCATTGATAATGATGATATATAGGTCTGCCCTTGTATGTCATCTCAATATCGCACGACAAAAAGTAAGGAAGTATGTTTGCCTATTGCTAATTGAAAACGCGTGGGAACCTCGAACAGCACAAATTAAGAACACCGTTAAACATTGGAAGGGCTCATTTGTTACATGTTTTAATTAAAGGCTCTATTTGTGATTCGAAATATGTACTCTCTCCGTCTCTATCTGGGTTTTCTGGAAGGAACTACTTTTTGTCTAATTTTTATTTAGATGTTAGCTGACCCGGCAAACGTTTTGCCATGTATATTATTTCTAGGAAACATTTTTTTAGTTCAATAAAAATAACTATCTACAATAATAAAATAAAAGTACGTTTTTTGACAGTAGTCAAACAGTACTGTAAAATCTACTCTAAGCCGTGCTCTTTGATATACAAAATATGGGTTTGTATTGTCATCTTAAAATAATGACTGCGGACCAACTTTTTTCTCTCTTCTATCTAGGAAGTTCGCATACTTTTCTTCGGTGACAATTTGCGTTTATAGTTTATATAAAAAATAACGACAAAAGAGCCATATCAGTTGACGTCCAGTGCATTTACCGTGATGGAAGACATCTTGACGGTGTAATATTCCGTACATAAAATATTACAAATACAATTTGTTTTTTTTATAAATATTTAAAATTTATCGACGCTGAGACACCCTATAAATTGAATATTTTGAATTGATAGAATTGTACTTACGGTAACAGGTTCGACTCTAGCGGGAACAGCTCTAGCGACCCCTGGTGAGGCGGAGCGCTCCCTCTCTCTCATTTCCCCAGCTAAAGCTGCACGCGCAGCTCTCGCTGCAGTTTCGAGGCATCCACTCGATTTGCTCCTGTAAAGTTTATAAAGTCAAAAAATACCAAATTAACTAAGATACATTTATTATTTCTTCGTTGTCCTTTGTTGAATTCTTCTATCCTGAAGACATTAAATCACTGTAATATTTCTGCGATCACATTTCAGAAGATAATGACTGAGTAAGTGAAGTGTGTGAACCAAAAAATAATTAAATACTTGTTCTTTGATAGGCGAAAAAGTTTGTCTGCCACCAGCGCCCTAGAGTATTTTTAACATAATTCTTTAAGAAGCTTTTAAAAGTTTGTACACTTACCTCACTGGTCTGTCAGTAGGAATCATTGACATTGGCTGATCAGGTGCTGGAGGAAGATACATCACGTGACCAGCCCACGGCAGATATGAACTCCCTTGCCATGGACTCTTGTCATCCTACAATAGAATTATGGCTTGTATTTTGTTTTTTGTATAACTATTAGTCGTGTAACATATCAGGATTTTAAAGTCAAATTAAAGTCCACTTTTTCACAAAGGTTATGTGTTTATATTCATCATTTAAATCTAAACAAAACTTTAATGATATAATAATAATGGTTGGTCGAAGTTGTAAACTAGTAGCTTTCTCAATAATTTGCTGTATATTTTTTGACAGCGCATGTAAACGCTATCAAATGCTTAGTAATAATCCAGAATAAAAAATATTTAAATGTTCGTATAGTTCTTGAAATATAGAAAAAGAATAGTTAAAATTCTTCTTGCTCTTCAACGCCTGGAACTATACCGTCATAACATTAATTATAACCACAAGAAAAAAATCCTTACCTTATCCTTAATCATCGACTCTTCTTTAATCTCTTCACTTTTCACCCTCAACGGCTGCAAAAGCATTGGGTTACTCAACGAATTCGGTGCCGATTTGCTCAAAAACCAATTTTGCTCTGGTTCCGTCAACATTGCTTCATGTTCCAGATCGAATTTTCTGGAGCCCAGAGCTGCCCCAAGTGCACCTGACACAGATTTCCTAAATTTCTGAAGACTGTTGAAGCCCTGCTGTAGCGGCTTTCCCTGGAAACATTCGTAGAAACACGACACGCTTTTTAACTACGTGGGATTGGTAGTTCTTTTAATCTGATGAGGGATAGTGATAAAGTGACTCCATGAAAGAATGCTAGACTGTAGATAAAAAAGGAGATAAGAGCAATATAAAGTTCCAGAAGTATAAAGCTTTTGTATTTTAAGCTCGCAGGAATTGCATTTTTTTTAAAGTGAATATTCCATATTTAAGTCACAGATCATGCAAGTTTAGCTCTGTAATTATACATTGGTCAATAAGCCCTTAGTTCTAGCACGCAAAGTCTTGCGTTTGAACTCTGGCTTAGCAAATAGCATTTGTATGTAAGATAGACAGGAAAGTCTAATGTATCGGGCACTGACATATGTAAAACAAAATATAATAAACAAATGCAATGTAACACAAAAACTGACTTCAGAAAGTTATACTTTGGTTCAGAAATGGAGTAGTCGTACCGAAGAATTTTTAGATGTTAATTATATGGCATGAAGATATAAAAGCGGCCAAGTTGCAAAATCTACCAAAGACCAAACCTCGTGTGTCGTGATTTAGTTAGGATTAAAATTGTTACCATCAATAAATATTATTAAATATTGTCTTCATTGATTTGTGATTGTGATATATATAAAAAGAGATAGTGTTTATAATATAAACAGATAATTCTTAAGTATCTCATTTTTTTTCCAGCTTGTAAGATATGAGACATGAAAAGGTTTAGGTTGTTCTTTTCCAATTCTGAAAGCGTTGTCAATTTCGATACTTTCTATTGTGACTATTTTACGCAGGGTAAATGTAGTATGGATTTGTTCTTCTTTTATTCCAAATACCACGGAATTTTCGTTATCTTCTGGATGTTTAAATTTGTTTTCTAAATTCTCTGAAATTTTTCTTCCAGTATTTCAGTGATATTTTTGGTTACTGCTATTGTGATGTCTTAGATTTGTGCTGACAAAATTTAATGTGATTTACAAATTCCTTCAATAATATAATAATAATTATTATATGTGTCTTCTACCATTTCCCTAGTCTTAGTGTATTTAGTCATCATCAAGACATAAATAACAAATAGAATATACATACAGGTTAGTAAATTTAATTTCGTGCATAAGCGTTAGTAAAAGCAATTAGCAATAGTTAGTCACAAAATATCGTTATCCCTCCTCAGTTAAGCACGGGAGGTTAGGTTAAGTGTTAGTTTACAACATACAGCCGTATTCAGAGTCATCCATTAACTGTAGGTTTTCATAGAAACGGTACTAATATCCATGAATGGTTTAAGGCAGTTGGACTTATGTTTGTTTGCGAGCGGAACTATAGTGAAATTAAATCTAGCAATGGTATAACTAGCTATTAACTATTAGTGTTATATTCATAGACTGCCATCTACAACGTTTTGGCCAAATTTGTGTCTCGTAAGTCAGAAATGTTTTTTGCAGTTCCGGACTCAGAACTCTCGACTCTGAATTATGCCCATAGAATCTATAACATTGTTCAGTAAACGCCGAATTCATATAAAATAGTAGAAAATAAAATACAAAATTTACATAACTTCTCAGGCGCAGATAAGATAACTGTATTAATGATAGAGAAGGTTACAAGTCTTTTAATAGTAAAAACACACCGAACAATGTTCTATGTGTCTAAAATACTTTAAAATTAAAAAATTTAGAGAAAAACTAGCTGACCCGGCAAACGTCGTTTTGCCATACTATTTCTAGGAAAGGTTTTTTTTAGTTTAACAAAAATAACTATCTACTATAGTAAAAAAATAGAGGTTGATCGTAGAGGGTAGATGAAAATTAAGGGTTGTATGTATTTTTGTTTGCTGTATCATAAAAAAATAAAAACAAAAAAATTGTCTAAAAAATAAAAAAAATTTTTTTGGGGTGGACACCCCCTATCACTTAGAGGTTTAAAAGATAGATACTGAATGTGCATAAAAAATCATAAGAATTGGTAAAGTCATCTCGGTGGAGTATTGGAACGAACATTGTGACACGAGAACTTTTGTATATAGAGATGCTTAACTTTCGCCGCACTCCAATTTTACGAATATTTGACTCCAAGTACGACAGTTAAACTAATAAAATATGTTAATCTTTACTCTAACGTCCCGTGCAATAAATCTGCCGAATCTCACTTTTTCATTCTCTCTTGGCAGTGAGAGGCTGAATGGCTGTCCTGGAGAGAAGGTGGCCACGGGCGCATGATGCAGAGCTCCACCAGCGCCCTCAGAGCTACTGTCCCCTAAGTCCTGTTGCGGCGTCCAAGTTTCCGGCATTGCGGTTTCTGGTTGAGCCTGGAGAAGATCCATCAATGTATTACACTTGACACTTTAGCATATAAAAAAAAAGGAATACTGTGTGAAAATAAAAAAGCAAACAGCCTAGTATATAAGTATAAACCATTGTGGATTGAACCTGCGACTTCAGAGATGTCATTCGCACGCTGCAGCCCTTAGGCCAACACTGCTCATATGATTGTTATTAATTTGTTTATTAATTTTTTTACATTACTATATCCTATGGAAGCACAAGAAAAATGAAAACAATTATTTACATTCATTTTTCTGGTCCTTTTTTTACTTATTCTTACGTTATGTCTTAAAGGCGACTCGATCCTGTGATCACTATGCACGTGGTCCCCAGATATCCCTGAATCTCCGGACTTATCCCCGGACTGATCTGATCGTGGAGAAGATTCACCAGATATATCCGAAGACATCTTTGTCTCAACTGCTAGTGGTTTAATTTCTGTAACAATATGATATTAAAAATCTCTTGCAATTTACGACAAAGCGACACTTTTATAAGTTCTTTAGTAACTCATTATGTGTGGTAAAGATATGATAATGTGTGAAATGTAATTCCCTTGCCTCGGGGAAAAAAGTCGAAAAGCACTATTACGGCTGTTTTAATGGTTTCTCACTTTTGACTTCTTTGGTTTATATACTAAAACTGTAATTTTTATCAGAATTTACGCAAAACATTTTATTATAAAAAAAACACGAGGATGTCTTTATTCTACGGAAATTATTTTTTACACAATGTTAGTAATACTCGTTTACCTAATTTTATATTCCTGAAATAGATCGCAACAACCATAAAAATAGTTTTAATTTAGTTTCTTTTTCTACCAAATAATCATATTTTAAGTTAATGCGACAGTTTAAAAATAAATAAAGAGTGGTAATAATATATCTCTGTTTCACCAAGGACATAATATTTCCGCGAAAAGAGAGGTAATAAATTATTACGTCCTAGACATTTGTCAAAATGTGCCGTCGTAATCGTAATGTGCTGTTACTGTGTCATCCGTAATTATGTTAAATCATCGTAAAACGCCTTTGCTCTTAAGTATAATAAGATAAATTACTGTAATGTATTAAAATATTAATATGTTACAGTTAACACTAGTTTTAAGTTAAAACTCGTTTTCCCTAGTTAAAAATAGTTTTTACTAAATGCCTTTGTCAAAACTAGAAATAACAAGTGAAAACTAGAATTTACCACTGATACAATTAATTTTCTGATAAAACTAGTTGTCACTCCGAGCTTTAGTTACAACTAGCACTAAAGAAACTAATTTGAATTTTGGGATTGAAAACAAGATAAAGTTTTAATAATATTTATTAAAAAGATCTAGGGTATAGAAACATTACTATGTATATGGAATGCTCGACAAATTATATTGCAGGTATGTACCTACCTATGTGTTGCTTAATTGTTTTATCATATAATTATATTGCCTTTAGGTAAAAGCTAACTATTTAAATATTGCTTTTCAGGTCAGAATTCGACAAGTGCAAAGAAAAATTTTTGCATGAAGAAGACGTTCCGAATACAAATTTACCTTTGAGAACTGTTGCTAAGGAAGCATCCATAGGAACAGGCCAGGGATTTATGCGCTGCGTATGTAAGAAAGGATGTATGTCAAAAAGGTGTCTCTGCAAGAAAAATGGCTACCTTTGTAATTCAAAATGCCACAATAGTTTGTCTTGCAATAACAAGTAGATCGTCATCTTTTTTAATTTTAAGGTTGTTTGATTATTTTTTTATTGTATGTTTACCAATATCCCTTAAAAATATTATTATAATGTTCCTTTTTTAAATTTTATGGTTGTATTCTGTTGATTTGTTTGATTATTTTATTTACTTTTAATTAATGTTGTCACCTTGGCAACTACTTTATGCTGATATTCCCTAAAATGTTCCTTTAGTGTAAGTTTTTTTTACTAGGTACGGTACTATGTTTCTATACCCTAGATCTTTTTAATAAATATTTTTAAAACTTTATCTTGTTTTCAATCCCAAAATTCAAATTAGTTTCTCTAGTGCTAGTTGTAACTAAAGCTCGGAGTGATAACTAGTTTTATCAGAAAATGAATTATATCAGTGGTAAATTCTAGTTTTCACTTGTTATTTCTAGTTTTGACAAAGGCATTTAGTAAAAACTATTTTTAACTAGGGAAAACGAGTTTTAACTAAAAACTAGTGTTAACTGTAACAAATACATTTAGTTATTTTTTAATAATTTACACTAAATACATAACTACAACGTTTAAAATGTCAAATAGGTATCCTAGTAATAATAGCATTAACCTTCTTTTGTTTTTCCTGAAAAAAATAATTTTGCTTTAACGACTTTGTTCCTCGGGGCAAGCGATTTCGGAGAGTTTATTGCCAGTTCTTTTCTTCCGTTCTACACCCTTGATTTGAGAACTGGCAGTAAATGTGAAATTAGAAGCATTTAATGTATATTTTTTTTTTTTGACGTTCATAAGTGTACATGAATAAATGATTTTTGTTTTTTTTATCGAATTGTATTCTACACTATACTAAGTCACGACAATAAACTGGAATCTAAGTTACCAGCAAGATGAGCATCCAACGTAGCAAGTTGTCTCCACGCAGACGTTGGTGAGAAGCGAGGTGGACTCAATACCCTCCTGGGTAAAGTAGGCCGCAACCTAACCGCGATTCCCATAGACCCATCAGATCCTTCATCCGATGAAAGCGCCGATTCCGACGATACTAAATGAGATAAATTATATCGGCTTATAGAATTTACAGCGCAGAAGTAATTTGATTTTTTGTTACATATAGGATAATTTACTACATACATAAGTCATAAGAATAGATTGTACATAATTATTTTATGTAGCTATTCTTTAGCAATCTTTGTTGATTAAAATTTAATTATTTTATTTCAGCATTTTCTATGCGTAACGATGACGAAATCGAATATGTTTTAAAAGGAATATTATTACAATTGAAAAGATATTTAGATGCCCGAGTTATGTAACATAGCATTAGTTAAGTTACATATATATATTTAAGGTTATAATTAGAAGCGTAAACAAAATGTACACCAATATGAGCCCTTTAGTTTTTACCACACTCATAAATAGTAACATAACATTCTCGTTTCCGATAATGTCCAACAGGTCAACTACACTTACATATATACTTAATAGGTAACATAAGTGTCACTTAGGTTAAAAACCCTTAAATAAGTCAAGTTAGTTTTTTTAATTTAGCATCATCGCAACCCTACTACCCCTAATTTTATGTTATTTATAAGAACATGTTTTGAGCGATTAAAACCAGTTGACGTCTAGCTTCAAACAAAGAGTTTCATTTAACATTTGAACATCCTTCCAACAACCGCCACCGAACTTAACTCCCGTATAGATTTTAGATTTATATGAAGCTAGCTAACTTAATAAAAAAAGTGCGTGCGTACAAAGTACACATGCAGAAGTTAAACTTCTTTGGTAAACTAATTTTTAAGTCTTGGTCATATTTAAACAAATCTAAATCTATAGATTTCCAAAACTTAGAGGGAGGGAAAAAGATATGTTAGGAATTTAATTGTCATTAAAATATTAAATGTGTCGAAAATTAATACAAATTATAAATTTACTTTTTGAAATGTATTTCTTCGATAATAAAAACACGTGCCTTTTAAATTTACAATTCGTCATTAGAGATTTCAATAAATTATTTTGCATAAAATATAAAATACTAATATTTCATAAATTCTCTTTACAAAATTTTAATTTTAAAAATAGTATTTCTATATGATTCGCCCTTCTCACTCTTCCTCAATCGGCCTCAATCGCTCTCTCCCCTTCTCTTCGACAAAAACGCTGCACATCTTCGTGACGTATCCGTAAAAATTTTACCCTCATGCACCTCAAGAAGTTTCACTTCAAAAGTGAAAACCTTATTATACTTACGATTTTTCTTGCAGCTTTTCCTGAATTTTTTATTGAACTTCTCCAATTCATCTTCTTCGTGGTATCCCAGTAGCTTCTTTTCAATTAAATGGAAATTGCTAAGCTCCTCAATTATAGGAGTTCCGAGACCAGGGAAGTCTTTAAGATTGTCTTGTGTTTCGGTTAGTGGCGTCTCTAACATTCCGAAGTAAAATTGTTTCGATGGTGCCTTTTGTCTGCAAATATAGAAAAAAATATATATATTTCTTTCTTTCTTCTAACTCATTACAATATTGACTTACCAAAAGCTTTTACATAAAAGATAGCTAAAGAATTAATTGTTATTATGGACTGAACTTACTTATCTTTCGTCTGAAGTCCTTTCCTTCTGATAGGCGAATGTTCAGGAGTGGACTCTTTCCCTGAAGCTTGTCCTCTATCTGGTAATTTAACGTTTTCTTTTACATCGCTCTTAAATTTCTTCGCTTCCACTTTATCGTGAGCTGCTTTAGTTTTAATCTCATTAATCCGACCTAGTGGTCGTCTAACATTATTCAATGGTTTCGAATCTTTTGTGCTAAGACTAGACTCTTTGACTTGTGGTTTCGTTGGGGTTTTCGTTCTATCATTCTGACTAGTTTTGGTACTTATATTATTTTTATTAACTAATTCGTTCCTTATTCTATTCGTCGCCTTTTTGAGTTCAGTTTGAAATTCATCTTTTTCGTCATTACTTTTGCTCAGTAATGAAGGAAGAGATTTTCTCAAAGGCTCTATTGTTTTGATTTGTTCTCCGATTGATTTCATCCTACTTTCGTGAGTAGTTTTTGGAGATTCATTTTCACTGATTTTGAGTGTGTTATCGAATGTTTTTTCTCTTCGAAGCGGTGGTATTTCGAGGGCTTTGCTGAATCTTTCAGAGTGCCTGAAATTCCTGTTAAGGAGCGGTGTTTTCCAAACTTCATCGGTTTCATTAGTTTTTGTTGTTTTAGCTCTGCATCCACTCATTCGATCTGTTTTATTTCGATGATCTTGTCTTCCTTGCAACAATCTTTCTTCTCTCTTCAAAGAAGTTGTGCTTTGTAGCATATCTACGTTGTCTGGGTATTTCAAATGGTCTTTGTCTTTGCACGGGGATCTATAGCGTCTTTCGAAAGACGCGTCGTTGAAATCCAGGGACTTGAAGTCTGTATATGTACTTCTATATGCCGGTTGCGTTTCTAACTTCAATGGGTTTAGCTTTTTAGTTTCATTTCTCGTTCTGAACAGCCGTAGTTTCTTTTGTGGTTCAGCTTTTGAATGTCTTTCGGTTGAGTCTGGTGACGAGCCTTCTCGGCGCTGGAAAATTATTGTGAAACGTTTATTAATAAAATAAATGTATTTTTTTACTAGGGTTTCAGTAAATTATAATAGGTACAAATGCAAATTCTACATAAGTTTGATATAACTAATATATCGTCCGTCGTTCCACAACTGAGCATTTTTAAGGTAGTTTTTGCCGCGCATTACCACTATGTGGAACCAGCTGCAGCAGTATTTCCGAAATAATTTGACTTAGGGTCCTTCGAGAAAGAAGCGGCACCACACTCGCGAGTTCTCTGGCATTGAGATGTCACTGAACATCAGGTGAGCCTCCTGATGTTAAGTGATACCACTTCCGCCCGTTTGTTTTGGTCCTAAAGTGAAATTCACCAATGTTTTGGACGTAATAGATAATAGGATACTTACATGGTTAGCTGGTGGTTGGGGAGCTCTGTATTTCTTCCGAAAGTGTTTGTTACTACGTGGTTTTTGGTCTTCCTCGATCCGAAGGTCTGGTTCTGATCCAAACCGTTTGTTCAAACTGCTTGCTGGAATGAGAAAATATATATAAACAATTAAAAAAAAACTTTTTAACCTGATTAAAGTTATGTATTATTATAAATTTACATTCTTTAAATGTGTAGAGGTTATATCAATCAAAGACAATACTATATATAAACAACATAAAAATACAGTTGAAAATAAAGTTGTTAAAAATTGTCTGGCATTAGCACTTTCTAAGAAGCCGAATCCTGCCTTAAGCTTATTGTTATGTCGACACTTCTTAGTATCGACCTTAACCAGTTGTCTTCTTATCATTAATATAAAAAAAAGTATTACGTACAGTCACTTGGCCTCATGTCAAGATTGGTGTGTGACCGATGTAGATGGTCACGTTCAAATCTTTGCTCGCATTCTGCTCCGCCAGCTGAACGCGACCGATAGACATTGGAATGCTGGAAATATAATTCCGATATTATTATAGGGCTGAAGATGAAATAACAGACTGCTGATGCTCAAAATAAACAGCAGAGAGGTCTGGAAAGTACTACTTAGAATTATCAATGAGATTATAAGTTAGTACATTACGATTCCTTTCTTAATTATTTATGGATATGTGGCAAATGCCTTTAATGGGCGCAGTATAGACACATCTTTAGGAGTGTTTCATGTACTATTTTTCTTTGTAGATAAATAGGTGATCGCTCGTCGGTGGCAACGGTACAAGTCGTAATTTATAGGTACATTCTGGTTTCGTCGTGTTGATTTTCCTTCACATTACGAGTTAATTAAAATCCTTTTTTTATAAACGATTCAAACGGATAACCACGGGCTTGATACATACTCGTATGTTACACTAACAATTGACTTGTTTATATAGTAATTATTAGCTACACATCGCCTACATTATAAACAATCCATAGTTGTCTTACATAAGGAAGCTACCTGTTACTGAATGTCAAACATTACTCTCATTAAAAAAGGTTATGCACAAGAGCTTTTAGCTTGGAGATTAATCCCGGAAGCTCTTATTAGATGAAGATGTTTGTTCCTTACTTGAAGCTCATTAGACGAGTCCTTCAAAGTACTTCATTATAAGATCAAAGGAAACCGCTGGTTCGGACTAATCTTAATATATGTGTATTAAGTAAACAACGAATGAGTTATAATACTACTAATAATAAGCACGCGCACTGTATTTAAAATATTTTAGCTGATTAAAATAATCACCGTTAAACGACTTAATATTATTTTTATGCACGCATTTTTAAGTACTTAAAATAACCGTGAAGTCGTAGGTTCCATCCCCGGCTGTGCACCAATGGACTTTCTATCTATGTGCGCATTTAACATTCGCTCGAACGGTGAAGGAAAACATCGTGAGGAAACCGACATGTCTTAGACCCAAAAAGTCGACGGCGTGTGTCAGTCACTGGAGGCTGATCACCTACTTGCCTATTAGATTTAAAAATGATAATGAAACAGATTCAGAAAACTGAGGCCAAGACCTACAGAGGTTGTAGCGCCACTGATATATTTTATTTTGTACACTGTCTTTATGAATTTAAAAAAAATTGTTTCTCAAGTAAAAAAGTAAGTACCCGCAGTTTAGACAGATTGCATTTTACAAATTTAATATTTTAGTTAGTTCATCTTCACTTTTATTAGTTCCTTACCACATGTCCATGTGAAGTCCTTGTCACTTCGGGAACCATGGAAGAGGGTCGACGGCCGCTGATGGTGCCTCCAGAGTGAAGTATAGCACCATTGTCTGTGATGCGCAGCCGCGGCGACTCTGCTAGCGCTGGCAGCACCTGTAATTAACCATAACTTTTATATGTTCATTTTAAAACCACTAGACAGAAGTCAAAGAACTATGTATATATTTAGAGATAGACCTTGAGACATCAGTTATTTAGAGACGATGTTTTCTACTCATAGAAAGAGAAAGGAAAATCCTTTTCCTCCTAACTATATGTTACGCATATAGTTATATGTTACGTATATAGTGTTAATTGTAAATTTAATCCCACAGCTTATCCTTCATAATTCATTTAGGATCTCCGCCATTAAGTTGTGGAATAGACTGCCCGACTCTATACGATTGGCTCCCTAACATCTTTTAAAACTTTTCTGCATAAACATTTCTTAACCTTATCCTATCTTGATCAATCGTGGCTTGTGTAATTCTTTTATTAAATATTCTTTTGTATTGCATCGCCATTCATGAATCCGTGATATTAGCTTTTAAGTTTGTTTTATTAATATTTTTTTGGTGTTACTTTTACTATATTTTTTTATATGTAACATTTGGTTATGCACTTCTTGCACTTTACTTATCATATTTATTTTTTTAGATTTTCCCTTACTAGGTTTGCCTGGATGAGATCGCTTGTTAGGGATGAGGCCGCCCGTTGCATCCCTTATAATTTTGATGTATTGTGTTATTTGCGTATTTTTTTAATGCAACGAAATGTAAATAAATAAATTAAATTATATCAATCTAAAACTTCAAATTTCCGAGACTTAGAGGGAGGGAAAAAGGAAGATATGTTAGGAATTTAACTGTCATTAAAATATTAAAAGTGTCGAAAACTAATACAAATTATAAATTTAATTTTTTAAATTTATTTCTTCGATAATAAACACACGTGACATTTTAATTTACAATTCGTCATTAGAGATTTCAATAAATTATTTTGCATAAAATATAAGATACTAATAATAATATGTATTTCATAAATTCTCTATACGAAATTTTAAAAAGTTTCACTTCCATAAATAAAAATCCTAATACCCTTTACCGATACTTTACCTTGGGTGCATGTCTGAGTGGCTCATGCGGCAGGGTATGTGCGCGGCGCGGAATTTCCGCGACCGGCTGGCTACCCGCTTGGCCCATGCTACTCCGACAGTCTCATCTGTAATACACAAGGAAATATTAATTATGTCATTATTTATGAAAATAAATGATAGCAGAGAAGTAATTTTTTACACAACCTAATAAATACCAATAATTTAGTTACCGGCGTTAAACAATATATTTGTTATCAACGCCCGACGGTATCGGTGATAATACTATTGTCTCTGAATGTTCTTCTAGAATAATTGTTATTTGCATAACTTAAACATAATTATATAATCCGTGACTTAACACTCTTTCCACCAAAAATCTTCTCCGGGTAAAGTGAGTGACGAACTTTACAATACCTATTAATTTGAAAAAGTGCAAATTGAAAAGGTTAAACCAATTTTTATCTGTAATGACGTAAATAAGGTATTTTTAATTACTGTCGTAAAATCTTTACATGCGTAAATCCATAGTGCTGTCCACCTGTAGCAAATTGCTATTCGTGCGTAGCCTCTAGCGTGAACTTGGCGTAAACACGGGTCGCGGGTCGTATTGGGTCAAGGCCGCCTTTGTAAACAAACCGGCTTTAACATTATCGAATGTTTATTACCCTTTGTAGTTGTATTGAGTGAATTGTTAAGATTTAGGGTATTCAGATTCAAGCGCGCAAACTATGACTCTTGTACGTCATAACCCTAGTTTACCAAATGGTAAAAGTTAATATTCAAAAGAATTAATATAATAGAAACATTATAAAGATCTGGGACTAAAAGATAAGTTTTTTGTCTTAACTCTGAATGATAAACCCATTGTCACGTGGCTATTTAAATTGTTGTAAATTTCCTATTGTATTTGGATCAAGATAAATTAAGGTGTATTTTCAATAAGTTTAAAAAATCTTTTGGTAATCTACATTTATGATAAATAAATACATGATAAATTGATAATAAAATGGCAATATGAACCATTAATAGTCTTCATATTCCATTTCTACATTTCACTTTCGATCATTACAAACAGATATAACTCTCTCTACGTAATAAGAAAAATCTTTAGAATGAATATACAATCAAACTAATGATTTCAAAATCAAAAGCAATAGCGCCTTTTTTATATCACCATTATTGTTCTTATACGATGGGCAAACATAGGCATGTTTGCGCGGACGCCCATAACGGGCGTTAATCGCAGCCCTTTTAGTGGGTGCGTTGCGGGCCTTTGAGAGAGGCGTCTCTCTTTAAACAATTGGAGGTCGTGTCTTCACCGGGAGTCAATTCCTAAGTTCGCTAGTTCGCAAAAGAATATGCCTAGTGAGCGTGGAGCACTTCCAGCCATCAAGATGATGCTGATGAAATCTGGAGACACAATAGCTTTTACGGTGATGAAGCGTTGCCGTAACGACGGACGAATTAGTGGAAAGTACTCCATACAATATATACACTGTATTATATTCGCACGATACATGTTCCTGCTTCCGTATAACGCCAAACGTTTTTTAAACAACAAATTATCATTACTTTTTATTTCCCATAAAAAGTGTTTATTACATAGACAATTTTACATAGACCTAAATTGTAATAATATTCCTCTAGCTCTACAACCCACGTCTTAGCTGCAGATTGCGTAGAGATGTGGGGTCTCTCTGCATCTACCATATTTACCATGGAGAGTGTTCAGAGGAGTAGTTCTGACTTTTTAAGGCAGATTTTGCCGCGCGCCACCACTCCACATGTGTGGAATCAGCTGCCCACTGAAGAATTTTTATTAGACTTAGAGTCCTTCAAGAAACTGTACCAATTCTTAAAATGCCGGCGACGCATTTGCGAGCCTTCTGGCAATGTTAGTGTTCATGGGCGTATCACTTAACATCAGATGAGCCTCCTGCCCGTATGCCTCCTATAACATTAAAAATAAAGATTTCTTTGATCATTTTTATCTTTATAGACAAGAAAACCTGACCTGACATATGTCATTGATTTTTGGGGTTTTAATATCGGTGTCCTCACAATTACCTTTACCGGGGCAGCACGTGTTAATTAAGCACATAGAAACCAAATCCATTGGTAAAAGCTGCGATTTGATCGGAAGATAGTGAGTTAGAGAGAGGGAGAGACGCTTCAACCAACCCTGCGTATCCGGTATATTTTTCCATATTTATTTATTTATACATTCTAAAACAATGTTAATGCCTAAAAAATACAAGAAAATATGACATCACAAATTTAACACACATACACATCGATTACATTAGAAAATAAGCAATCTATCAAAGGAAAAAATTAAACAAACATCCATAAATCCAGAAATAAAATAATAACTAAAAAGATAAAAAAAAAACAATAAAGTAATATACAAAAATGAATGAAAACTTAAACCACATTGAGCCTGCAAAACAAAGATACGGTATGTTGGTAGACTGTTGAAAAAACACATCAATATTTTCATATCTATGTGGATCGGCTTTTTTTAATGGAGGAATGCAAGCAGTGTAACGGGACTTTACACTAAGCTTGTAACTGGCTCATTGAATATGTAATTAGCAATTATAATGTCTCTAACATAGTTTTAACCTACTAAAGAGCAACATACAGATGGAAAGCTATAATTTCTATGATTTCAGTGAAAACGTGAAACCGGCCGTCATTAGAACGTACAATCTAATGAACATGACATATCAATGATAATAATGCTGCCGTTGGATTGCGGAATCGCGTTAGGACCCCGAAGGAGCCGAAATTTTTTATTGCAATTTGTCTAAGAATTTCAAGTGGGTACACCGGTCATGGTATCATCGGTATCACTATATGCACTATAATATTATACTATGTAACGTATCTTAGTAAAAATAACGCAAAGTAAGTTTTAAAGTAAAAAAATGACTAAATCACTATTGTTCAAAGAAGTATTTATATCGTGTTACGTCTCTCGATCGCGATGATTGTACAAAAAATAAATATTTCATTATTGAAATTTATGGTTTATCATTATGTATGTATGTACACGACATTGATTTTAGTAAAACATTAAAATCATATTCATTTTTTTAAGAACATATCAAACAGGTTAGTCGACATCACAGGAGACCAAAGAGCTGGCAGCTACCTCGGACAATGAATTAGTCTAGCTATTCAAAGGGGGAACGCTGCCAGTATCTTCAGAACCTTGCCTAAAGGGACTCCTTTTAATAATATATTTTAGTTATTATGTTTTAAGGTTAGTTATTGTTTTTATTGTTCTTCTTTTTTGTGCATTTGTGTTGGAAATAAAAAGTCAGTTTGTAGATGTAGTCAAAAAAGGGAGGAAGCTATCCGATCGGAAAGTTTTACACACACGAAGTCGCGTGGATGAATATTAATGTGTATAATGAACTTAGTAGCGCCTCACTGTCTACCGCACCTGTTCAATACATAACAAACTAAAGCGGAAATTCCAAAAGAGGTCAAACTTGAAACTGTCTAGTATAATTCCCGGACCAGCACCTTCGCGCGACATATATTTGATTTATAACCTCGGAGCACTATAAATAACGTTTAATAGACTGCCGTTTAATTTATAGTAATGTACCGTTACACCACCCGACTGTTGGGTTTGATTGTTATTTTATTGAACCGGGGTTATCAGGCGATCCGTTTGCTAAAAATATTATATTACTAACTTCTGGACAAACGGATACGAGATTTAAGTTTACGGGAAATTAATTTATTAAAATTGTTTATAGTCCTTAAATTAAATTTATAACTATGAGATAATTTTGTCTTATTATTAATATTACAGAAAGAAAAATGAAGTTTTTCGGCTGCCTTGGAAACAATCAATGACGCGAAAATTGTGGAAAATATGTAGGTGAGAAAATATGGACGTATTGTCTATATGCGTAAATTAATACGATGAATGGAATTCCATTTCATCTTGAAGATCACATCACTATACTCAAAAATCATGATGGCGTGGCACAGAACACAATCTGACCAGCTTCTGTTTATAAGAAACAGATACATAAAGAAACCAAGGAGTATTCAAAATCATTTATTTACGTACATAAGATTTGTACGAGTATACTTATAAACATAAAAAAATCTAATATCTTTAAATATACATTAAAATATGCCAGTTCTCTAGGACTAGAACGTAGCTAAGAACGGGCGTAGAAAAGAACTAGCTATAAACTTTCCGCCACTCCTTTTAAGAGGTGTATTTTGATTCCGATAGATAGATTATGATATAATAAAAAAGTGATTTTTAATTGTGTACACACGTGTGTTTACATAAATAGAGTGATCATGTCGAATCCATTTCCAATTAACATAAAGAAAGTTTCACGACAAACGAGAAAATGTGCAACTATGCACTTTTGCTTTCAAACGAGAGTCAATACCATTGGGCATTATCCTCTTCGCATACGAATTATGAAAGCATACATATATGTATATCTATGTGGGTATGCAAGTGAACTTTATGAGTAGAAAATTCATAACCTCAAAGAATTTTATACAGTTTAAGCTATAAGGTTGAATCCTGATCCTTGAACCAATGGTTTTGTCTTTCTATGAGTGATTTACGACTTCTCGAACGGTGAAGAAAGTGAGAATCTACAGGGTGGCCAAAAAGTCGTGGATCAAACGCAAATGGGTAAATGAGGTTATCAGCTGCAAAAAATTCTTCTACGGGAAGTCTCTAAGCTCAACCCCTGCAGAGTTATAATGTATTTTGCGTTTTATAAGAAAATTGACTTTTTTTACTAATTCTTATTAAAATTCGAAAAAATTTACATCCTGTATCTTTTTCATAATATCCACTAGATTGGTACTGATGAGTTCTTGCGTCCCGTTGAACAATTTTTTGCAGCTGATGACCTCATCTATCCCCTATTTGCGTTTGATCCACGACTTTTTAACCAACCTGTATAGACGATGTCTGCAGGAGTTGGCTGATATAATAAGACAAAAGTAATAAAACAGATGCAGCTGTTATCTTCGCCCTTTGGCGAGCCCTGCATGATAAAAATACCGTAGGGATATGCGTAACAGCATTTCCTGAAGTTAAAAAAATTG